ACTCTCTCCCTCTGCCCCTCCCCCCTGCACTGGCTCTCTCAATTAAATAAATCTTAAAAAAAAAAACCCTGCAATAGTTTCCTTTTTTTTTTTTTTTTTTAAGTTTATTTAAGTAGGGGCGCCTGGGTGGCTCAGCAGTTGAGCGTTTGCCTTTGGCTCAGGGATTGATCCCGGATTCCCAGGATCAGTCCCACATTGGGCTCCCTGCATGGAGCCTGCTTCTCATCCCTCTGCCTGTGTTTCTGTCTCTGTCTCTCTCATGAAGGAATAAATAAAATCTTAAAAAAAAAAGTTTAAGTAATCTATACACCCATTATGGGGCTCAGATTCACAACCCTGAGACCAAGAGCTGCATGCTCTGCTGACTGAGCCAGCCAGGTGCTCCAAAACTATAATAGCTTCTCAAGTATAAGTAGTTTCTATGCATCTATTCAGGGCCACCCCCAGTCTGTACACCTTATTGCAACCAGAGAGATCTTTTCAGAGCATAAATTTATGTCATCCTCTTGCCTAAAATATTGAGTAGGTTTCTTTTGCTCCCAGAATAAAAACCATAAAGTTCTTTTTTTTTTAATTTTTATTTATTTATGATAGTCACAGGGAGAGAGAGAGAGGCAGAGACACAGGCAGACTCCATGCACCGGGAGCCCGACGTGGGATTCGATCCCAGGTCTCCAGGATGGCGCCCTGGGCCAAAGGCAGGCGCCAAACTGCTGCGCCACCCAGGGATCCCAAACCATAAAGTTCTTAGCATGGCCTAACACTTAAGATTTACCAAGTTTCTGGCCATGGACCCTTCTTGCACTGTACATCCTTTTCTTTGCTCCATACTAACCTTTTAATGACTACATTCTGCTAACCCCTTTTGCCCAGAGACCTTTCTGGAACCCTTTCCAACTCACCTGCCTCTACCTTTTTTGTTAAGTACCTCTGGGTAATCTTAATAGGTTTCAGCACAAACGTCCCACTTCCTCATAGAAGCCTTCCTCGACACCCCAGATTTGGCAAAAATCTCCCTTTAAAATACTCTCATTCTAGGGCATTTGGCTGGCTTGTAGACAGAGAATGTGGCTCTTAATCACAGGGTCATCTATTCAACCCCATGTTGGGCATGAAGCCTATTTAAAAAAACAAAAACCCACCATTCCTCTCTTTCTTAGCACCTGCCACAGCTATAATGTCATTTAAACAATGGCTTACTTTGGGATGTAAGTGGGTATTTATTTGATGGAACCCCACTAGACTGAGTTTCATTCTGGTCTTATCTGAGCTGAACCTTGAGGAAATGATGTCATCTGCCAGGACTTCCACTGGAAGTGCAGCCCAAATTCTTTGAAACTAGTTTCAACAGGTGTTCCTTCTTGAATCTGAACTCCGAGGCTCCCTAACAAGTAGAATATAGAAGAAATTACACTGTGCCAGTGTTTAGGCCCAAACCTCAAGAAAATGGCCATCTTCCATTTCCCATCACTTCGGATGTTTTCTCTTAAGCCTAATCACCACGTTATAAGAAAATCCAAATAGCCCACGGAGAGGAATAAGAACCTTGGTTCTCAGCCTCAAATGAGCTCCCAGCTTGCCAGTTATGTAAGTGAGCCATCTTGGAAGTAGAATTTCTAGCCTCAGCACCTTTCCTCTCCTCCTCCCCACCAAAAATCCCAGATGAAACAATATGGAGCAGAGATGAGCTTTTACTACTGAACTCTGCCCAAATTGTAGATTCTTGAGCAAAATGATTTTTTTTTTAAGCTGTAAATTTTGGGTGGGTCATTATACAGCAGTAGATAATGGGAACATCAATCAGAATGACAACCCTGTGCAGAAAGGCAACACTTCCCCGGTCAGGATCACAGAGCTGTTTGTGATGTCATGTTATGCTGACCCTCACTGAACCCTGACTCAGGCCAGGAGCCTGTAGTATTTGCTGACATAAAGAGTGGGAGTCTGTGGCAGTCCCCAACCAGGGTGACCATCCTTCATGCTGGTATGCAGGATGCAGACCAAAGGTTCTCCCTTGCTCATAATCTCCTATCCCCAGGGAACTGGCTGGTGGAAACTACTACATTCCAGAGTTTTGCCCTGGAGGGCAGTCTATTCCAGCTTCCGGAGGTGAACATGAATGGCAAGGGACATCCAAGTAGCACTGCATGAAAGACTTAACAGAGAGGACACAGGTCAAGGGGAAAATCCAGTGATCTGCCCCATAGGAATGTCCAGCTTTGTCCAGACTGATTCAGATGAATACTCCTATTTGATAGACAAAATTTCAAGGCAGCTCCATGCTGAGGCACACAAGCCACACAGCACCTTCTAGGCTCATGCTGTCCAACACAGTACCACTAATTACTATGGCTATTTAAATTTTAATTTTAGGGGCACCTGGGTGGCTCAGATGGTTGAGCATCTGCCTATGATTCAGGTCGTGATCTTGGGGTCCTGGGATAGAGCCCTGAGCTGGGCTCCCAGCTCAGCAGGGAGTCTGCTTCTCCCTCTCCCTCTGCCTTTCCCACTGTGCTCTCTCTCTCAAATGATTAAATAAAAAATCTTTAAGAAATTTTAATTTTAGGGATGCCTGGGTGGCTCAGCAGCTAAATATCTGCCTTTGGCTCAGGGTGTGATCCTGGAGTCCCAGGATCGAGTCCTACATCAGGCTCCCTGCATGGAGCCTGCTTCTCCCTCTGCTTATGTTTCTGCCTCTCTCTGTGTTCTCATGACTTAAAAAAATTTTTTAAATGTTAACTAATTAAAAATCTTTAAAATTTAAAACAATTCCTCAAGTCACACAAGCGATGTTTCAAGTGCTGAACAACTAGCTAGATGTGGCTAGTGGCTGCAATACTGGACAGTGCAGATGTAGACTATTTCCATTACATAAATTTTACTGGACTGTACTCCTATAGGCCCTTTATGATTGGTAAACAGAAATAGCCTTGCTCTCTTGGGGCCCTGGGTGGCACAGTCGGTTGAGGGTCCAAGTGTTGGCTTCAGCTGGGGTTGTGATCTCCAGGTGGTGAGATACAGCCTCCAGTAGGCTCCTTGCCGCCCCACGTGGGGCTCCACCCACAGCACAGAGTCAGCTGGACTGTGTGTCTCTCTCTCCCTCTGCCCCTTACCATACTCACGTGCTCAATCTCTCTCTCTCAAATAGACGGATAGATCTTTCAAAAGCAAAGAAGGAAAGAAGGAAGGAAGGAAGGAAGGGAGGGAGGGAGGGAGGGAGGGAGGAAGGAAGGAAGGAAGGAAGGAAGGAAGGAAGGAAGGAAGGAAGGGAAAGAAAGAGCCTTGCTCTCAAGGATGTGAGAATAGATAGATGAAACACAGAAAAATGAAACAAAGGCTACTACTGGGAGAAATGGCCACATTTATCAGGCCACAGATTTCAACCCTGAAATAGGCACGTTGAGGAAGTTTGCAGAGCAGCGTGAGTGGCCTACCTGAACTTTCAGTTCCCCTTCCTGGTCACTGATAATACTTTTTTCCAAACTTCTTAATAGAGTCATTTCTTGCTTTAGGGTATCAAATTCCACAACCTCAATATCCATTATGTTTAACAAAAATGAAACACAGCATCATGGTTAAGAACATGGACTCTGGAGCACCTGGGTGGCTCAGTGGTTGAGCATCTGCCTTTGGCTCAGATTGTGATCCTGGGGTGCTGGGATCAAGTCCCACATTGAGTTCCCCGCAGGGAGCCTGCTTCTACCTCTGCCTGTGTCTCTGTTTCTCTGTGTCTCTCAGGAATAAATGGTTAAAGTCTTTAAAAAAAAAAAAAGAATATGGACTCTGGGGGGCACCTGGGTGGTATAGTTGGTTAAGTGTCAGACTCTTGGTTTTGCTCAGACCATGATCTCAGGGTTGTGAGAATGAGCCCCACATCAGGCTCCACACTTGGTGCAGAGTTTGCTTGAGATTCTCTCCTTCTCTGCCCCTCCTGCTTGTGCTCTCACTCTCTCTTTCTCTCTAAAATAAATAAATAAATAAATTAGTCTTAAAAAGAGAGAGAGAGAGAGAGAGAGAGAACATGGACTCTGGAATCAAACCTCCCATGTTAAAACCCTGTTCCAAAGCTTCTTAGCTTGGGTGACCTTGGCAAGTTACTGATTCTCATAGAACGTGCATTTCCTCATCTGCAAAATAAGGATATCCTACTTCCCAAGATCATTGTAAAGATCACATGAAATAGTGGTAACAAGGCATAAATGCCACAAAATAATACTGAGTAAATATTAGTTCTGATTTTTCCTAAGGTTATTTAACCTTATTTGGGTTTCAAAAAAAAAAAAAAAAAAAAGCCCTCCAAAGAGATTTGGTGACGATGTGTGGTCACTTTAGATCACTGTATCCTTCTGTTATCTCTCTGTTCCCCGTCACTTTCATGCCCCTCCTCTGCTCTCCTGATCTCTCCAGGGTCCTCTCCAGTACCTTGATATGGTCCCATATGGGTTCAGTGTGGCTGTCAACAGCCTGGTACCAGAGTATGAGGACTCATCTTGGGTGGCATCACTTTCCCTTCCTGTTCCTGGGCTTCCCTTCATTGCTTGGGTTCAGGCCACCTAAGTACTGAGTGTATTCATACTTGGAAGAGAGATCACAAGAGGCTGGAGTTTCATACTCTGGGGGAAATCTAGAGATTAGGGCGGAAGAAGGAAGCCTGTCAAGTTAAAGATGCTGGGGTTGCCTTAGGCTCCCACAGACCGCTCCGCAGATCTTGCTTTTAACAGGCACTGGGAGAAGGCTGAGAGAGTCGTTGTCTAAGTGAGGCCCGTCCACTTCCTTAAGGAAGTATAAGCCGGGCGCCGCCTGCCCCTCAGGTCTGCGTGACAAACACAAGATAAAACAGGTGTGCAAAATAAACAAATTCCTAAGGGTAGAGGCGCTTTCCGAGAGCGGCTCCTTTAAGAGGCGGGCCCCATCCCTGTTAACCAAGGAGTCTCCGCCCCCCGGTTGCCAGGGTGCTCTATGGCGTCGCATTCTCATTGGTGGGCGGCGGTTAGCGAGGCGCCTAGAGGCTGCCATTTCCAACAAGCCGGCGGGGGCAGAAGATGGCGACGCCCCTTGGGTGGTCGCAGGGGGGGTCGGGGTCGGTGTGTCTCGCCTTCGATCAACTGCGGGACGTGATCGAATCTCAGGAGGAACTGATCCATCAGCTGAGGAACGTGGTACGCAGCAAGAAAAGCTGGGGGAGAGGCCAGACTGGACACCGATATGGAGGGGGCGGGGCGGGGCGGGGCCGGACTCTCGGGACGGAGACTCTCGTGGGGCGGAGGCGGGGCGCGGCTGTGTCCCGGCGGGTGGCACTCGAGCCAAAACCGCACGGTCTTCACGAATATTTACTGGGGAATTTAAATCAAAGTCAGGTTGTTTTCTCCTCTTTGCCTGGTTGTGTAAGGCCTGGGAGTTATGCCCCGGTCTATTCACTGGGCTTCACTTTCCGCATTTCTAATTGGACTCACTGGCTTCCCAGGGCCCTCAGGTGCAGGCACTGAAACTATAACTATCTTTTCTATTATGGACTTTCACCTCTTACCCCCCAGCGTCTAAGGCAGCGCCATGCTGAATGCAGTAAGCACAGGTTTGTCCCTTGCACATGTTAACTTAAGGCTTCCGACCCCTTGATGTCCCCTTGCGTTTGCCTTCTCAATCAAACCCTAGTTCATGAGTTCAAAGCCCCTGGAGCCACAGATTACCTGGACGGGCACGGTAAAATCCTGTGCAGCTGGGGTTCATGCTTTTCCTGTTTTTGTTTTCTGTCTTGATAAGAAGGTCTTGAGATATCTCTATCTCAGAAACAAAAATGACCTAACATCTGTTTCTCACTCTGATGGGTGAATGCAGCTCTAGGCACTGAATGACCTGCAATTCCCTGAGGGTACCCCAGCTCTTTTTCTTTGAAGCTGGCCTTCCCATGTATGTTCTCCCGTCTGGAACACTTCTGTTCCACCCCTGTTCCTCCTCCGGCAGGCCAGCGCCTGTTTAGCAGTCAGATGTCCTGTCTGATGACCCCTTCTCTGGAAGCAGTGCTGACCTTTCCCCAGGCTAGGGGCTGCCTCTGGGCACCAACAGCCCTTTGTGCTTCTCCATTGTAGCACACTCGTGTTAGAAGGGCTGGCCAGGAGCTATCTTCTATATCAGACTGGTTGCTCCTTGAGGGTAGGACCTAGAGCTGAGACTCTGGATCTTGTGGAACCAAATTCTCCCTTCTCAGAGCCCAAGTCTCATCCTAGGTATCATCCCACTGTCTAACCTTGGTCCTGGTTCCTAGAAAGCACCCCTCCCACTCCAGCCCCAGGCCCTCCCTGAGCCAGGCTCTGTTGCAGATGGTTCTCCAGGATGAAAATTTTGTCAGTAAAGAAGAGTTCCAGGCAGTGGAAAAGAAGCTGGTGGTAAGTAATGGTCTCTGTAGGTTCCTGATCTTCCCCCATTTTCTGGGATCCCTCTGGATGGGTACAGTTATTCAGTATTGGCTCTGAGAGCCTCCAGCCCCAGTAGTGAGGACAAAATCTTCTTGGGTCCTGGCTTCCATGTGCCTCTCCGAGAAATGGAGCTGGTTAAGGGAACCTAGGAGACCCAGGGTGGCTTGGGGGTAATGAGGTCACTGCTGCTGCTGCCCCTGCAGGAAGAGAAAGCTGCTCATGCCAAGACTAAGGCCCTCCTGGCCAAGGAAGAGGAGAAGTTGCAGTTTGCCCTCGGAGAGGTTGAGGTGCTGTCTAAACAGCTGGAGAAAGAGAAGCTGGCTTTTGAAAAGGCGTGAGTGGGCCTTGGTAGGGGGGGTGAAGGGTTGGTGGTCCAGTCTGCCTGTCAGCCTTCCCACTGTTTATCTTCTCCACTCAGGCTCTCCAGTGTCAAGAGCAGAGCCCTGCAGGAAACCAGTAAGAAGGACCAGCTTATCACCAAGTGCAATGGTAGGCGGGAGGCCCGTGCTCCCCCCCACGCTTACATGCATGGGCTCTTCTCTAACAGCCCAGTGCCCGTATCCAGGGCAGGGTTTCACCCCAACTTCTGCCCCCGGCTGAGGATACAGGCAGGCCCAGGCGGGCCACACCTTCGCAAAGGCCTTCAGGGACCAGGCAGGCCACGGAAATGAGGGAAGCAGTCGGTGTACAATATTCTTCATGGCCATAAAGGAACGGGCTCGCTCCCATTTTTCTTGAAACATAAGACCTTCTTAGTCCACCTTTTGTTTTCCCACTTTTGATGGGTATCAGAAATAGCGTACTTTACCTGTAACTGTTACAGGACGAACAGCAGGATAAGCACAGTCGTCTTTGGGAGCTGACCCCTACTGTCAGGGTTGAGGACCCAGCAGGGAGGAGAGGGGACTGTGGTGACAGGAAGAGCCACGCCACCTCTCAAGGGCTTAGTGCCTCTGCCGTGGGAATGGGGGCCGAGTATTGGCAGATCCTTAAAAAAAGAAACCAGAAACCAGGTTCTAATGGAAATTTTTCTGATTTTTTTAGTGTTGGCAACTGACTTAGAAATTTTAAAACTATTGTATGGGCCAAGTAACATGTGTCTGTAGGCCATTAATTTTCATCTCCACTCTGTGCAGATGCCTATGGCCACTTGTTGGCTCAAGGTGGTGCTGTGAGTTTGGGGGTATTTTCTGTCAGCCACCCAGTGTCCCTAGATCTCAGGAACCCCCTTTTAGTTTCCCAGAACACTAAATTCCCCTTAGCTAGTCTAAGAAATAGACATGAATTCCATATGGAACATTTGCTTCACAGATTGCAGGCGATTTTAGATAGGCCACAGATCAGAGCCCAAGTCCAAAAGAGATTCAGGGTCCCTCCTGATGGGTGTCATCTAGAGTCTTGGGTACCCTGTACCCACCAATCCATCCCTCTCTCCCTGGGTGAGTACTCTCACTGGTAAGATGCCAGCAGGCTGATACCTTGATCTCACTAGGTGGGCTGACAGGCCTTATGGCAGTATGAGCAAGGGCTCCCGTGGGGGCCCCCAGGGGTCCAAGTGAGGGCAGGGGTCCCCTCACTGCCTCCACATCCAAGGCCACTGGGCTCCAGTCCTTCCTCCCCGTGTACCTATCCCCCCCCACGCCCCCAACTTTCCTAAAAGGAACCTAGAGTTCTTTCCTGGTGGTGCCCAAGCATTTCCTAGAGATCAGCCACAGCTGCAGGGCTCTGTGTCTACTTGTGCAAGGTGTGTGTGTGGGGATGGAACCTGGCTGCCTCCCCGTAGAATGTCCTAAGCACCTCCAGTGGGACACAAGCCTTCCCCTGGCCTATGCCCTCCCGACCCCTCAATCTCCCTTTATGTGGGTTTAGTTTGGTTTTTACACTTACACAGTTTCTTATTTTTCTCAAAGGGATTTTTCTAACCATTCTCTCATTTGGCTGCTATTTATTTTAAATTTATCTCTCATTTATTTTAAAAATTCACAGAAATTTCTGATGCTTTTTCCCAAAAGAACTTCACAGTCAATCAATCTGGGTGACCTTGAGAAGAAGGTTCAATAGTTCTGGTCCTATGACCCACGGAACTCATTTTCCTTCTCTTCCTTCCCTTGCATCTTTGTCTCCTCTTTTGTATGTCGCGTCTTAATTTTTTATCAAATCTTTTCTTCTGAAACCTTAAATTGCTTCAGCATTTCTGAATTTTTAGAGTTTGTGTTGTAGTTAATGTTTGTCCAGCCTTTAAAGGCAGTGGGATTTTCTTCCTATGAGGATAAGAATTTTCCAGGACTCCCCAAGGGACAGTTCATATAAATGAAGCACCCCCCCCCGCCCCCACCCTGAGATTCCTACAACCACTTTCAATTTTGATTCAAGACACAAAAATCATCTTTGCATCTAATGAGCACTTAATGTAGGGGGCAAGCTTTGCCACACTATCTCCCTGGGTGCTCCTCACACCCCTGTGGGACAGGGGCTGTTCCTGTCCCCATCACAGATGAGGAAATGGGTCTAGAAAAGGAGGTAACTTGCCAAAAATAGTAATACTGTCTCATCGATATTAACACCGTTGAAACATTGCCTTATTCTGTTCAGTTCCTGAGTTTTAACTCTCTTTCAGGAGCTGCCTCCTTGAAGGTAGGGGACCCTGTCTTTTCCCCTTGTGAAGCCCTAGCACAGGACTGGATACCTAGCTGGTCCTCAGTAGGTCTGGTTGGATTGAGATGATGAAACTAAGTGATGTTTTTAAGTCCTAAACCCCCAGAGTGTATCCTGTCCATTCATTCCCCAAATAAATTCATTGTGTCCCATCCATGTACCAGGTACTATTTTAGGCCTTAGGGTTAAAGCAGTAAATTGAAAAAATCTTTATCCTTGTGGATTTCATGGATATAAATCCAACTTGGGAAGAAGATAGGTGAGTAAAATATATGGTATGTTAGCTATAAGTGCTAAGAAGAAAAAGAAAGCAGGATAAAGGGATAGAAACTACTGAGAGGGGTTGATACTTTTAGATTGGTAAGGGTCTTACCAAGGAGGCGATATTTGTGAAGATTGGCAGGAGTTAAGGGCAGGAGCCATTCATCCTCCTGCCTTTGGGCAGCACTGTCCACCTCTCTGCAGGGGCCTTCGCCTGCCCTCATGTGGGTCACCTGGTCCAGAACAGAGTTGTGAAATCACTGACACACATCAGACATTGCGCCCCTTAGCCACCATCCTGTCAAAACTCCATAATAAACTCATTCTTACTAAGGTGTTAGCAGCTACTTATGGAGCACCCCTGGGTGGGGGGAGCCAACTTCTTAAAATACCTGTTAGGGAATGAATGCCTTATCTCAGGAAGAAGCCTGTAGGATGGGAACCACCCCTCCTCCCTGCCTCTCTCCCCCACAGAAATTGAGTCTCACATTATAAAGCAAGAAGATATACTTAATGGCAAAGAGAATGAGATTAAGGAGTTGCAGCAAGTTATCAGCCAGCAGAAACAGATCTTCAGGTGAGGGGTCTGGGCCAGGCCTGGGGATTGTTGATGGAAGTGGGGAGCCAGCTCTCTGGCCCCTATCCTAGACTGCCCCCAGCCCATGCCCAGACGGCTCCATTGCAGGAATCACGTGTCTGACTACCGGATCCAGAAGCAGCAGGAGAACTACATGGCCCAAGTGCTGGACCAGAAGCATAAGAAAGCCTCAGGGATGCGTCAGGCCCGGAGCCACCAGCGTCCCAGGGAAAAATAAAATGGTCGTCGCCTTCCTATTCTCTGGCTGTAATGCCCGACCTCTGCCTTCCCTGCTGTGGGGATCCCCACCCCTGCCCTTCCTGTCCCTGTGGGTCCTGGCCCCTGCCAAAACAGACTTCACCTGGCCTGATTCCCAGGGAAGAGGCAGAAGGCACTCTTTTTTTTTTTTTTCCCCCTCCCTGCCTGCCTTCTGGAGGGCCTTGGTAACAGAAGGGAGAATCAAGTTACCAGGGACTGAGTGGGGAGCAGGCCTTGGGCCACCGCCTTCCAGGCCACTCAGAAAAGGATGCTGCTCAAGTCCCCAGTCCCTGCCACTTCCCTCCCTCCCCTGGGTCCTAGGGGGAGGAGAGGTGTGGAGGTCTAGCCTACAGGAGGACAACTCTGTTGTCTAATAGGCACTGTTCTTCCTACTCTTGGTATTTAATCTCTCCCTATGTAAACAGCTCTGGTTACCCCTGGTTACCTGTAAACACCCCACCCTACTCCCAGTGCCCTGGTAAATTTAACTCTCCCAACTTGGCTATAGAGCAGGAAAGGCTGTGTGTGTGTTTGAGTATGTGATAAGCCCTGACTGGAGACAACAGGCAGTGGGTTCCAAGACCACAGTGAATTTGGGAAATCCATTACCATCATATAACAAGAATGTTACACCTGTGAATCATACTTGTATCCTCTTACACTTCCCCCAAACAGAGGCTTGAATCTTCACAAGGGGAAGGAAGGGAAAAGGACAATGTTATGTCTTTTTTTAAGGTGGGGAACAGTCTCTGAAGGGCCTATGACTTGTTAAAGTTGCATGTGCAGCACCAGATGATAGGCAGGCTTGATCCTTTCACAAGCCATCACTGATGGCTAGATGATCATGGGGACACACCCAGTCAGGGGACCCACTCAGAGGCTGAGTCAGATTTGTCAATCTAGCCTAACCTGAGTCAGTGTGAGTGCATGGGGTGGGGGGTTGCTGTGTTTTTGCCCCAAGGCCAGCTAGGGCCCGAAACATAGCAGGAACTTAAAGCCGGAAGTTTAAGGGCAAATGGTGCTCACTGTCATTATCCCAGGGCAGTGACAAGTGGTGACTGCTTCCCCACCAGCACCTGTCCCTGGGGTGAATCCTGAGGTGGTGGGGGCTGGAGTGAGGGCCTTGCAAGTGCCAGAGCTCTTTCTGCCTCAGAAGGGCTTCAGAGAGGGGTCATGGCTACCCCAAAGGTTCCTAAGAGACCCCACATCAGTGTCTTGTTTTAGGTGCCAAGGCCATCTGTGAAAGCTAGAGCTAGCCACCCCAGGCCCTTCCAGTATGGTCCCACTAAAGGCAATGGGTCCAGCCAGGTACAGCTTCCCGAGGCCCTAGTACAACCTGGGGACTTGGGGGATCCCTGCAAGCAAAGCTCCATCAAAGATCATGGGGTGATGGGTCAAGGAAGGTGGTGGGTGAACCCTTACATACTCTAGCTGGGACAAGTGATGAGAGGGCCAGAGAGAAGGGGTGTGCTCCGGTGGTAGGAAGACACTGGGGGGCTAACTGGAAGATGAAATTGCTCAGAAGACCCCGAAAGTCTGGTCCTGGTCCCCTGGCTCCCATTCTGACCCACGTGCCATGGTGCTTGACGTCAGGCTGGGCCCTGCTCTGCCTGTTTCTTAGCCTGTGAGCAGAGTTAGGCCTAGCTCCTGGCTTCAAACCTGCCCTTCCCTCACCTTCCTGTCAGCCCAAGACTGGAGAGCCATCCTAGGCCTCTGGCCCGCGCCAGAGGGGAACGTCGGAAAAGTAAAGCCCAGGACCCAAGGCTGTCCTGTGGGCGACGCCACTGATTCGCGATCGACCGCAGCCGCGGCCGCTTTAAGGCGCGGTGACCCCACGACATCCGCGGGCGGGGCGGGGACAATGTGGGCAGCCGCAGCACCGGCGGAGGCAAACGTGAGGGAGGTAGTGCGCGGCGCCCAGCCCCGCCATGCTGACCGCGCTCGCCCGGCCAGCCCGGCCTGGGCTCCCGGCGCAGCTGCCTGCGGCCCCCGCCCGGCGTCAGGACTCCTCTGGTTCGTCAGGCTCCTACCACACGGCTCCGGGTTCTCCAGGGCCCCCGGACGTTGGGCCGGACGCAGAGTGCCGGGCGCATTGGCCCGGGGTGGCCCCTGCGCTGGGGGCGGGCGCGCAGCCTCGCCTGTCCGTCAGCGCCCAGAATAGCCGCCAGCAGCCCGGGCCCGGCTCGGGTTTCCCGCGAGGCCGGGGCTCCAGCCCGCGGCCGCCCCAGCCGCAGCTGCGCATGCTGCCGTCGGGGGAGATGGAAGTCATCTTCGGCGCAGGGGCCCTGTTCGGCCGCTCCGACGCGGCGGATAGCGAGGTGCAACAACTCACTGCCCGCGCCTTCCGCAGCCTCTCTCCGCCCGGGCCCGCGACTCCGGCTCCCGCAACACCGACGCCCCAGGCCCCCGACGGTGGCTCCCGCTGGGCCACTTACCTAGAGGTACGGCCCCGCGGGCCGAGTCCTGGGACCCCAGCGCAGTTCGAGTGTGTGGAGGTGGCGCTGGAGGAGCGTGAGGCTCCCGCCAGGTCCCGCACGGTGCCCAAGCGTCAGATCGAGCTGCGCCCCCGGCCCCAGAGTCCGCCGCGGGAGGCGGGAGCACCACCGCGCCCCCGGCTGCTCCTGCGCACTGGCTCCCTGGACGAGTCGCTGGGCCGCCTGCAGGAAGCCGCTGGCCTGGTGCAGACAGCACTGGCCAGAAAACTGAGCCCTGCAGCCCCTGCCCCAAGCAGCGCCACCTTCGGGCCCACGGGGCGGCCAGAGTGTGCGAGCCGAGAAACGGCCCGCAGTACCCGAAAGGTCCCGGAGGAGGCCAGGTCTCGGCCACCGCGCGTGCACTATGGTTCAGCACCCGCCAAGGCACCGCGGCCGTGGCCCAGCCTCCGAGAGCGCGCGATTCGGCGCGACAAGCCCGCGCCGGGCACCGAGCCGCTGGGTCCGGTTAGTTCCAGCATCTTCCTGCAGTCAGGGGAGAAGACTCGGGAGGCACAAAGTCAGGAACTTAAGACTCGGTCCCCGCGACAGACTCCGGATCGAGCCATTCTGAGAGCACAGAGTCCGCCTTTCGAGTCGAGGGGCCCTCGGGAAGTTCCGAGTAAGGCTGCGAGGCCATGGAGCTCGTCCCCGCTGTGGCAGGCTCCAAATGGGACCGTACGGGGTCCTCACTGCCCGTCCCCCCAGAATCAGCAGCCCCCGTGGAATCGGGCTATTCGGAGGGTGAGTAGCCCGTCGTTCCCCGAAGCATCCCGTGCATGGGGAAATCAGGATCCCGCTGTCGAGGAAACTGTCAGCAGAAGAAGCCCCTCCCCACCGACTGTTTCCCAGTGGAATCAGGGTGTCGTCGCCAGGACAAGAAGCCCGTCCCCTGAAGCTCCTTCCCTATGGGAGGTTCCTCAACCGGCAGTTGGGAATACCGCAGAGGGCGGTAGGAGCGCGTATCCACCGGCCTTGTCCTCCTCGTGGGAGGCTCCAGATCGTACTAATGGGACGTGGAATCCATCTCCCCAAGACACGTGGGGTCCCACACCACAGGGCTCATCCATAGTATCTACGTCTAAAGCTCTGAATGGGATAGGAATGGAAGAGCTGGAGCTGCCTAGGCCGTCCACACCTGGGGCCCTGGAACTCACGGAGGCGCAAGGTCAGTCCCTGCGGGAGGTGCAGGATCTTGCTTTCCGAGGCAGTCAGCCGTCGCCAGAGGCGGCCGCACCTGAGCTGACCCTCAGTCGCCTTGTGGGCCCTGTGGATGCCCATGTGCCCCGGGAAGCCTTGGGCCCCGGAGAGGCCGCCTCGGGACGGCCTCGCGTGGCCATCCCGCGGCCCCGCGACGTACGCAAGATGGTGAAGACCACGTACGCGCCGAGCTTCCCCGCGGGAACCGCGGCTTTGCGGCTGCCTGCGCCTCCTGTGGAAGCCCGCGCGGAGGAGGGCGGCGCGCCCAGGACGGAAGCGTTGCCGGCGCTGGCGTCGCCAGCCCCAGCGCACTACACTTCGGTTTACCTCAAAGACTTTCTTCCGGTCGTGACGCACCCCTACGAGCCCCCAGAGCCGTCCCCTGACGCAGTCCCCCGGGACGCTCCGCGGCCCAACGGGGTCCTGAGGCGGAGAGCGGAGAACAGCACGGCCAAACCCTTCGCACGCACGGAGATCCGCCTGCCTGCGGCACTGGCCGTGGGCCGCCGGCCGGAGGGAGCCGGGGGAGTTGTGCGCGGTCCTGGCGGGGAGAACCGGGAGGCTGAGGCGCGGCGCCTGGTCCCCGACGGCGAGGGGCGAACCAGCCCCGTAGGCGGCGCGCGCGCGCCACCCCAGCCGCCGCCCACGGGCCCCGGAGGGCCCCAGCCACCCCGACCACCGTGCCCCCGCTCGCCTCAGGCGCACCCCAGCTCGAGCGCCGGGACAGCACCCAAACCGGAGACGTCTCCTGTAGCTCCCGAGCCGGCGACTGCGATCCAGTCGTCTCTCCTGCGGGAGTCCCAGGCGTCGGCCGGCAGAACCGGCCCGCCCCAACCCCGTGCTGCCTCAGCGCCTCCGACGGACCGGCCCCTCGAAGGCCCCTTCCACGGGGCACGCAGGCCCCCAGGGACTGCGAACCCGGGGAAGGTCCTGGTGGACCCCGAGAGCGGCCGTTGCTACTTTGTGGAGGCGCCGCGGCAGCCTCGGCTGCGGCTACTCTTCGACCCCGAAAGCGGGCAATACGTAGAGGTGCTGCTGCCGCCATCGCCCCAGGTGCCACCACGCCGCGTCTACACCCCGCTGGCCCTGGGCTCTGGCCTCTACCCGCCCGCCTATGGGCCTCTCCCGGGCCTCTCAGGGCCACCGTCCCTGGCCCCACCGGGCTTCAGCGGCCCCCAGGTACCCTGGGCCTCCGAGGCGGGCCCCCTGGACGGGATGTACTACCTGCCAGTGAGTGGAACCCCCAGCCCCGCACCCCCTCTGCTCCTCTGTGCTCCGCCCAACAGTTCGAGTTCGGCCCAGCCCGGCAAGGGGTCCTTGTTCTCAGGGTGAGGCCCCAGGGCCTATCCTGGGCATTGGGGCCTGTTTGATAGCCTTGGGGGTTCTGGCATCTAGTCCCCTGCCCGTTCCTTCTATCACCTCTTTCTTTTACCCAGCCCACCCAGTCTTCACACTGGAAGTCACCTCCAGAGGGTATATCGGAGACTTTGGGACTGATGGAGCTGGAACTCAGAAAGTGGCTGCCTACTTTCTCCCCCAACAAAATTGTATACTCCTTTCCCAGGCATCCCCAGAGTGTGGTGTGTTTGTGTGTTTGTGAGGAGTCTCTGGAGTTGTTCCTAGGAACTGACTTGAGGGGGTGTCGGAGTTCACCAGGAGCAACAAGAAATAGGATCAGCAGAGGGCGGATGTGTCCCTCCCTGAAGGTGGATCCAGCTGCGGTGGAGTAGGCTAGTGGGCGCTGGTGCGATGGAGGGAGGACTGTGGCTAGCAACTCTTGTTCTTTGGAAGAGGATCTGAGCCTTGGCCTGGGAGGTCGTGTGGGAAAGGCTAGTGCAGCCCCTGGGTCAGGCTGGATCTGAGGAAGGGAGCTGTGGGGACGGCAGGTGGAGGTAGAGCAGGGAAGTTATATGGAAGGGGCTATGGAGGGTCAGCCTGGAGATGGGGATTGGGTAGGGAGGCAGCTATAGTCTCCAGCTGGGAGCCCCACTTCTCATCCTCCCCTCAACCTCAGCATCTGACTTGGCTTCTCAAAGTCATCAGAGCTGAGCTGGCTCATCCTGGGGCCAGGAGTGGAGGTTTAAGCCATTCCCACCCAAGTTGGGGGCCAGATGCAGTGACTCATCAGAAAGGACTTACAAACAGGGAGGATGTTTCAGCCTCTTGACCCCTCTGGGAGTAGTGGAGGGTGGGTTAGGGCTGCCAGTAAAAGGGATGCCATGGGGGTGGGGAGCAGGGCAGGGAGACTTGGAGCCCTCTGCTGATTGCACTCCCTCAGTAACAGATGTGGCAACCATGCCCAGAGAGGGCCTGGCTCGGCAGACTGGTCACAGCAAGGAGGGAACAGGACCCAGAGCCTGTGTGCTAATTGCCTTGAGATAGGAGCGTCTGAGGAGGGCTGAGAGAGATGCATGGGGTAGGACATGTGAGTCTGTGTGTAGTTCTGAGCTTGAAGTGTCAGGGCTTTGTTGACTGATATGTGATAAGATGAGTTTGGGGAAGAACAGTTCCCATTAGGAGCAGTTGTTAGGGATGGAGATTGATGCCTTACTTAAATTCCAGGCCCCTAGGCGGTCTGGGTCCCTTGAAGTCCCAGACTCCCTGCCTTCAGCTGAAAGTTGACTGGGAGAGCTATGAGTCAGAATAACCTGAACAACTTCTCATGGCCAGGGATGCTGGTTCTGATGGCATGGAGGGCCCTGGTCCCCTCACCTCATCCTGGTGTGCAATAAATCACTGATCCAATGAGCCACGATGCTTGGAACAACTGGTGTAAGTTGTCTGATTTCTAATTTACTGCTGCGACTTCTAACACCCCCTTTAACACTCTTCTCTGCCTGGGTATGGTCTGGGTGGAGGCGGCCCTAGGGCTCAGGGAAGGAGCCCACGTGTATCTTTCATGGATGTGACATCCTGGCCTCAGCAAACTCACCTCCCAGGGAGGAAGCCCTAGGCTGGCAACCATACCTGGCAACCTCATTCATCCTGGTGTCTGGGTGGCCAATGGGCTTTAGTTACTCAGGCTTGGGGCCTCATTTCAGTATGGCCCTTCTAGTGTATGGTGTTGGATTCATCACTTCTGTCTAAGCTTTCCTATGCTCATAAAAATGACACAAATCACCTCTTCCCTCAAGGTACTCAGTTCAGTGCCCACTGAGTGGCCAGACTTCAGGGGAGGGATCCACCCCCAAGTGCCCTTGCCCAGGCCCAGCTGCCCCCTATGTCACTGCTCCCTATCTGTGAAATGGAGCCCAGTTGGCTGCAGTGGGGATCCCAGGAGAGGAGATGCACACGTGGCATCTCTAGGCCCCTGGAGGAAGGAAGAAAATGGGAGGGGTGAGGTGTTGGTTCCCCATTGGTCTGGGTCAGGCTTTCCGGGGTGGCTTCCTCTGTACACATGCACATGCACACCTGCACCCCAGCCACATGCTCACTGAGCCATCTCCACTGACCATGAGGCTGTCACTGCCACTGACACTGCTGCTGCTGGGAGCCTGGGCCATCCCGGGGGGCTCTGAGGACAGGGCCCCACTCACAGCCACTGCCCCACAGCTGGACGATGAAGAGAAGTACTCAGCTCATATGCCTGCTCACCTGCGCTGTGATGCCTGCAGGGCAGTGGCCTACCAGGTGAGTACCTCCCCCCATACAGTTCCCCTGCCCCTGTCCAGGTCCCTCCTGAAGCCAGTCCCCTCCATCTACCTCAGATTCTACCACTGGCTTTGATTTCCAAACCCCCACCCTGAGCCCTGAGTTAGACTCAGCTTTCCATGATACTGCCAACTGCACCTCACCCAAACCCCCGTGCCTCAGTTTACCCATCTCTCTGCCCAACAGAAAGGAAATAATCTGGGACACCCCACAGTATCTTGAGACCCCAGGGAGTCACCAGCCTATCCTCTCAGACTCCTCCGTTTCCAGGCTTATCCTCAGGTCTAGACTCCTTCCCAAAACATGACTGGGGAGTACTGGTGTATTTGTGCATGTATGCACATGGGTTGAATGCATGAATATGAGTATGTGTGTGTCTTGAGTTCACACAGAAACCTATCCAGCATGCCTAAGTAACTCTGTGGAGCAAGGCAAGCCTATGAGTACACGTGTCATTGAAGACTGGGCTCTATTTTGGGTTTTTTTTTTTTTTTCCTTTCCTTGTTCTCATGGTTTAAAATAGCATGGCTGATGGGCAGGTGTGCACTGGGGAAGGAGCCCCAGTGCTCAGGCCTAACTTCCTACTTCAGTGTTTCCTACCCACACACTCCAACCCTGGGAAGTGGATCCTACCTCAGCAGACCCAGTCCCAGCTTTCAGAACCTGGGGGAGGGCTGTGAGGCTACCTGATAAGAGCTTCTTGCTTAAAAGTCTCCCTTGCCACCTCACTCTCTCCCAGAGACCCAGGCTCCTGCCTGACCCTCCCCCACCACTGAGCAGTCTTGAAACCCTGGCTCTTAACCCCTCCTTGTTCTAGATGTGGCAACATTTGGCAAAGGCAGAGGCCAAACTTCCCACCCCTGACTCAGGCGGGCGGCGGTGGGAGCTGAGTGAGTCGGTATACATAGATGTCCTGGACAAGAGCTGTTCCCAGAGCTGGCAGGGGTGAGTCAAGAATCTGGCCCCTACCACCCTCCTCTAGCAGTAGGGCTGATGGGTAGAGATTCCCACTCTCCCACTCACACCAGACACATAGTCCACTAGGGCTTTAGTCCAAGGTAGGGGGCTGGTTGGGATGAAGTCTGAGATCTAGACCTGGGGGCAAGTAGAATGCTACGTGGCTTGGGGACAAGGTTGCTGTGTGACCTCAGGCCAGGGGCTTTCCCTCTTTGGTTCTGTTTCCCATCAGGGAGGATCAGAATCTGGGCTCTGAATTCAGCAAATGCCCAGTGTGCCCAGCTTCATGCAGAGATATTATCCCTTGCTGGCAGGGCTCCCATTAATGCTATATGCTTCTCCTTCCTGCTGCTTCCAGCTATGGGGTTCGAGAAGTGAACCAGGTGAAACGTCTCACAGGCCCAGGACTCAGTAAGGGGCCAGAGCCAAGCATCAGTGTGATGATCACAGGGGGCCCCTGGCCCACCAGGTGACAGGAGTGAGGGTGGGGTGGGATGGAGACCTTGGAGCCTTGATCAGCCCCCTGAGGGGCAGGCAGGGGTCTGAAGCTCCTGTTGGGTTCCCCTAGGCTCTCCATGACATGTTTGCACTACCTGGGCGAGTTTGGAGAAGACCAGATCTATGAAGCCCACCAACAAGGCCAAGGGGCTCTGGAGGCATTGCTGTGTGGAGGACTGCAAGGGGCCTGCTCAGAAGAGGCACCTGTCACAAGGACGGAGCTCTAGTTCAACTCCTTCCCCTTCCTGGTCAGGCCCTGAGGAGAGCTGCGGTGCCCTCTGGATTTGCCCCACTCCTCTCTGCAGGCTACCTGGAGGGCAGGGGGGCCATGCTTTTCCATGCTGCCATGCCCCCTCCCTCCTTCCAGCTTTAGGACATTGGGGCCAGGTATATGTTGGGGGCAGGAGAGGGTGGGTAGGGGAGAGGCCTTCCCCTCTGGACTCAAATAAAACCCAATGACCTAGATTTCTTGATTCCTTCTCTGCAAAAGGCTCTTGTAGGGCTGGGAGGACAGACATTGGCATTTCTGCTGATGTTGTACCTAGGGAGGGCCAAATATACTTGCTTCCCCACAATTTCCCAGAGGTAGGTGAGGTGTGTCATGGCTAGAAATGTGAGCGAGCTGTCAAAGGATGGACCTAGTTGCATGGATGGTGAAACTGCAAATCCATCACAAAAGAAGAGAAAAACCAGTGAAAACTCCATGAGCAGGCTGCCTGGCAGGCATACCTACTCAGCCACTCTGTACTGTTTGGGGCCCCTCCCTGAACACTAGTATAGTTGGGTCTATGCCCAGGAGCTGCTCAACGTCTGGACTTTCCCTCTGACCCCAGCTGACAAGGTTGGGCCCTATGTGTCTGCCTGGGACTAGGCAGGGCAGAGTTTCTGGATCGAGCTGGATTCAGTATCTTGGCTCTAAGTCCTGCTCTCCCCAGAAATTCCTTGGACCTGGAACCTTTCCTTAGCACTGGAGGAAAACACCCCACTTGGGCCCCGCCTAAGAATGGGAACCTGTGGGCAAGCAGCCCTGGGAGGTGGACAGAACAAATACTCTAATCCCCAGTTGAGAGACACAGAAACTGAGGCTTAGAAAGTCAAGGAGGGGGCACCTGGGTTGGCTTAGTCAGTTAAGCACCTGACTCTTGATTTTGGCTCAGGTCATGACTCAGAGTGGTGAGATCGAGGCCCTCAACAGACTCCACGTAAGAGCACAGTCTGCTTAAGATTCTCTCCCTCAAAAAAAAAAAAAATTATCTCCCTCTCTTCCTACCCTGCCCCCCAACTTGTGTGTATGTATGTATGTGCATACACACGCTCTCTCTCTCTCTCACAAAAAAAAAGAAAGAAAAGAAGGAAAGGAAAGAGGAAAGGGAAGGGAAGGGAAGGGAAGGGAAGGGAAGGGAAGGGAAGGGAAGGGAAGGGAAGGGAAGGGAAGGGAAGGGAAGGAAAAAAGAAAAGAAAAGAGGCTCAGACCAAGTCCCAAGCTGAGTAGTGCCAGGGCTGATAGGGGATTCTGATTCTGGGGGTGGAGGAAGGTCACTGCTGGAGAAGTGGGTGTGCTCTGGAGAGGCCCTGACCTCCCCAGCCTGCATGATTTATACTGCAGCCTGGTCCCTTGCATTCCATTACTTGCTGCTCCCTATCTGCCTGAGGCCCCTCCTCCCTGGCCTTCACCCCAGGAGAGAACCCCTAGTTACGGGAAGAGAGCCAGTACCCACGGAGCCAGCTGAGTTGTCAGTAGTACTGGGTGTGGAGATGGGAGCCTGTGACAAGGACCTGGGTGGCTCTGTGTTCCTATGGAGTCATTTAGACACACTCTGCAGCACAGTCTGGGTGTTATGGGTCCATTTGTTTGTGTATCTTAAACCATGTGTGGGGGATCCCTGGGTGGCTCAGTGGTTTGGTGCCTGCCTTTGGCCCAGGGCATGATCCTGGGGTCCCAGGATCGAGTCCCATGTCGGGCTCCTTGCATGGAGGCTGCTTTTCCCTCTGCCTGTCTCTCTCTCTCTCTTTCTCTCTCTCTCTCTATGTCTGTCATGAATAAATGGATAAAATCTTTTAAAAAATAAGAAAGAAACCATGTGCAACTTGCCTGCTTTGTCTCTGTGTATATGGCGTGTGTAGTTTGGGTTGAACTGAATGTCCATGGGACTGTGCACCAGAATGTAAGGGGTGGGGCTCTGTCTCCACAGCCCACTGGGGAGTACTGGAGTGGAGAGAGGCGGGGAAGAAGGTGCTAAGGAGCAGTTTCAAAGCTTCAAACTGGTCAGACAACTTTGGGACACCTGGGAGCAGGAACCAAGGAAGGAGACAAGGAGATAGGCAGACAGAGGAAGAGCTGGAGGCTGGACAGGCTGCCAGATTCATAGCTGTGGCATGAAGCTGCTGCCTAGCTGGAGAGCACAGCTGCCTACGGGCCCTTGGAGCAGGGCCTGGCCATGGGCCCAACAACCCAGAAGTAGGTGGACCCTGGGGGGCTTGCCCTGGGGCAGCACAGAGAGAGGCAGAACCAGGAACCTTAGGCCCTGTCCTCATGGCTGAGGAGCCCTAGCTCCTCGGACCCTCCCCAAGTCCCTTCAGGCAGCTCCAGGCCTGTGACTGGAAGAGAGGACAGGCTGAGTCCAAGGCAGGTTTCAGTGGCTGGGTGACATGCACTCACACAGGGCCCAGTGCTTAGAAAGGTTTGGTTTAATTTTATTTAATACTCTGTTGTTGTTGTGTTAAAATTCATAATACTAAAAAAGAAAACTCATAATACTTTTGGAATGGGGGCCCCAAATCTTCATTTTGCACTGCAGATTATACAGCCAGTCCTGACTGGGAGGGGAAGGGAATTGTCCTGACATAGGGTACAGGCAAAGCTGGACCAGCTTGGGCAGCTTCTCCTCCAGAGGCCCATCTGTTTTGTGCCTCTGTGATGCTGAGGGGTAAGTGGCCATGTGTGGGGAAGGCAGCCCTTTATTGAATTTATTTTTTTATTTTAAAAAATATTTTATTTATTCATGAGAGACACATAGAGAGAAGCAGAGACACAGGGAGAGGGAGAAGCAGGCTCCCTGCAGGGAGCCCAATGTGGGACTTGATCCCAGGACCCCAAGATCACACCCTGAGCCAAAGGCAGACGCTCAACCACTGAGCTACCCAGGCGCCCTTTATTGGATTTAATGGCTAATTTATAGCTTGAACTCAGGGGTTGAGGCCAACCTGAGTTTTTGGAATGGTGTCTAAAATCTTGCTACCTCAGTCAGATCACATCTCCTAGATCTGTTTCCTCAGCGGTAAATGAGGTTAACACCACCTAACGCCTGGGGTTGAACACAGCAATACATAGCAGTTGCTTGGCAGGCAGTGATTCCTCATTATGGAGAATGACTATGATGATGATAATTATTAACTTGATATTAAAAAGTGGGGAAGAGTTTTATTCAGAGTGTGACCTAATTAAGTGTCCACTGCCATTCTCTTCTGCACCACCCAGGGCTTGGTGAACTGTCCACTCCTCACCTCCACCCTGCCCTCTCTTAGAAATAAGAACAGGGTCCTTGCCCAGGCTCAGGTGCAGGCTGGGATGGGCAAGTGCACAGAAGGTAAATGTGGCAGAGGCTTGGGTGGCCTTTACCACAATGGCCGTAGTTAATACGTTACCTCCGCCCAGGCCTGCCTTTCGCAATCAGAGCTGGAGATCTGGTTACAGATTTACTTCAAACGATGTCTGATGTGTGGACTAAAGTCCTCCTTGGCCTTCGTAAAGCCATCCTCTCTCTTCCTCAGGAACCGCTCACACCTGTGCCCCAAAGATGAGGGCCCAGGAGAACCTGGAGAGCCGGACACAGGTGCTGGGAATGGGTGGGACCTGGGTGGGCACAGGCTTGGGTGGTGGCTAGAGAGCCTGCTAGTGCTTTCCCCCTGGGAAGGCAGAGACAAACGTTCCGACAAACTCGACTGAGAGTGACTATCCCAGGCAGAAAGTAGCAACTGGGGGATGGGGTGCGGGTGGCCATGAGGGTGCAGGAGTGGTCAGCTTGGGACTGGCTGACTCCTGCTTGAAGACCAGCAGGGACCCAACCTACCCACCTCCAGGGAAACCCCAAGGACCTCCAAGTGGCAAGGGTGGGACCAGAGGCTGTCCAAGAGGGCCTGTCCACAGACTTCAGCCCTTTGTCCCCCTCTCCTGTTGCCCCTTGGGGCCTTCTTAGAGGCCATCCCCTTGGCCAGAATGCCCTGTTCCCAAGGCCTCCAGCAGCCAGCAAAGTGGACTCATCCCTGCACAAAAGAATGTGAGGAGGGAGCCACAGGTAGCCAGGTCAAGAGACAGCTGGTTGGATGAACCAAGAGGGAGGGTGGGGCTTGGACCCCATTCTGAGGATCCTACAGGCCACTCAGGCTACCTGATTGATTCTGGGGCAGAATGGACTCTGCTGGTCCCCATCACTCCACCCTGAGTTACTTCTCCCTGCTACCCTAGCATGAATCCGTGGGCTCAGCAGGGACCTCCTCGAGGGATCCCACAATGTCCCTGCCCACAGAACCCAAGTTTGATATGTTATACAAGATCGAGGATGTGCCACCCTGGTACCTGTGCATTCTACTGGGCTTCCAGGTGGGTTTTCTCATAGGGTTTCCCCACCCTGACTCTGCACTCTCCCCAGGATCCCAGCCCTGTTCCTGGCCAACAAGTTTAACTTGGGTAAGAGCAAAAGAAACCTAACGTCAACAATAGTGAACTGTCATGGAGCTGGGGTGGGGAGAGGGGTCTGATGGGGCCTGAGAGATTATCTCTGGGAACAGGTGTCACCAGCCAGACGGAATAGAACGTCAGTCACAGGGAGGAGGACCCACTCTACAAAGCCACAGGAATAACCTAGGGGCAGATTAGTAAACCAGAAAGAGGTGTGACCAGTAGCTCTCTGGGAATCCCACGTAGGAATCTCAGTCCCAGGTGAACACACTGCTAGGGTTAGCAGGGGGTCAGGTCCACTGAGGCAGACATGAGAATTTGAGGGTGTCCCTGTGATCCCGATGGGCCCTGCTCCATGCACTCTCCCCCATCCCCTAGCATTACCTGACATGCTTCAGCGGTACCATTGCTGTGCCCTTCCTTCTGGCTGAGGCGCTGTGTGTGGGCCGTGACCAATACATGGTCAGCCAGCTCATCGGTACCATCTTCACCTGCGTGGGCATTACCACCCTTATCCAGACCACACTGGGAATCCGGTAAGCTGCCCTCCCCTGGCCTCCCCACCCCCAATATATAGTGGTCCACACAGCAGGAGCAGGTGGTTTCTCTGAGGGCTCTTTTTAGGGAGAGAAAAGTCGCTATCTGCTCTCACTTGCTACCCCAGCCATCCTTAGAGGCAGGCAGCTGGGATCCTACCCTGGGC